CACCGCGGGCGCTTAGCTATTAATAAATATGGCAGTTCTATTTGACGATATATTAATTTTTTCGGTTTTATATTTATAACTCACGTTTGGCTAAGAATTTGAACACGACTCCAAGGCAAAAGTTGCTTGCATTGTTGTTTTACATGGCTTTTTTTTTTTCCAGACGTTTCCGAGTTTTTTTTTTTTTTTTTTTTTTTAATGTCCGTGTTCGGAGGGTTTTGGGCGCTCATTCACGTTCGGGCGAACATGTTCGTGTTTGCCTCCGAACGCGAACACGATGCTACGCAGGAGCGGACGTTCTATTCACAGGTGAAGACGGTAGTGTGAGCCCCCTCGTAGTTGTTTCGTTTCGAGTCTTTCGACAGGTTTAGCCATTGAAGCGTAATCTCAATGCCTGTCATACAATTCCGACAGCTTTCAGAACAATGAATATTAAATATTTCCCATTCAGTGACTGATTAATTCAACAAACTCTCTTAAACCACCTTTACTTCCTAAAGCTGTGCCAGTTAACAAGCCACAATTTTAGGAGACGTACGGCCTACTACAGGAGTGGCCAAATTCATCTTACTAGAAACTTTTCTACTCTATATTTTCCCGCGATAGCTGGGCCAGGCACTGGTGGTTTCATGGCAGAATAATGAATGTTTGCCATTCAGTGACTGATTAATTAAACAAACTCTCTTAAGGAGAAAAAGACCCAAAAAGGCAGATACCTAGCTTTCCAGCCTGGGCGCCGGGGCCACCCCAGGTCGCCCGGAAGGGCGCTCGGGGCGCCCGGCCGTGCGACCCCCCCGGCCAGGCCCCCGGGCCCCCACAGCGCCGGCCCCCAAATCCCTTTGATTTTTTTGTTTGGCGCTGCGGGCTGGAGGCCCAGAGGGGAAAAAAAAAATTGGCCGCTGCCCCAATTTTTTTGGGGGTCCGGTAGGCCCTATTTCGTAGTTTTTTTGGGGGGGGGACCTGGGCCGTCGATCTGCGTTGATCGATGGCGCGGAAGTCCCAAGATTTCGAATTCGAATCTTGGGACTTACCGCGCGGCCCTGCGCCCTCCGCCATACCCCCTCGCGCCAGTTCGTTGTTTCCCTGCCGTGGTCGTCCGCGCCATCGTTATCGTCGCCCTGCTGAGCCGCCATCGTCATCACCCTGCTGCCCTCCGGCACGCCACCGTCGTCATCGTCCAGCCGCGCCATCCTCCTCTCCCCTGATGCTTCTTTTTTTTCTTTTTTTTCCCTACTTTCTTCTTCTTCACCTCTACTGCGTCTTTGTTTGTTCTTCTTCGTTTTGTCTCATTCTTCTTCCTCTCCTTCTTCTCCTCCATTTCGTCGTGTTCTTTTCCTTCTTCGTTGTTTCGCCGTCTACTTTTCTTGTTTTTCTTTGTCGTTTCTTCTTGTATTTGTTTTTATTCTTCATCGGTTCTTGTTTTTCTTCTTCTCTTTCTTGTTACCGCCTCTTCTTCTTCTTCTTCTTCTTCTTCTTCTTCTTCTTCTTCTGCATCTGCTTCTGCTATCCTCGTTTTTCTCCTGTTTCTTCCTCCGCCATAGCGCTTCATCAACAAATCATCATCTTTTTTTTGGGGGGGGGGAATGCTTGATTATACTTCGGCTCCGTCTGCCATAGCCTCCCTCCTCCCTCCATAGACTCCCTCCCCCTTCCTCCTCCATCAGTCTCCCTTCCCCATCCTCCTCCCTCGTTAGACTCCCTCCCTCCATCAGTCTCCCTTCCCCCTCTTCCTCCCTCCTTAGGCTCCCTCCAAACGCTCCCTCCCTCCTTCTTCCCTTCTTCTTTATCTTGTTCTTCCTCCTCTTCTTCCTCTCTCCCTCTTTCCTTCTTCCTCTTCCCTTCTCTTTGTCATCTTCTTCTTCCTCCTCTTCTTGCTCTCTACAGTCCTTCTGGGACACCATAGTCCTCTTCTTCTTTCCTTCTTCTTCGTTAGAGTTCTGCCCCTACCTCCTACCTTCGCTAGAGTTCTGCTCCTACCTCCTCGTACCTCCTGCCATAGTCCACCCTCCTCCCTCCTTCCTC